TCTTTTTTTTTCTTTCTTTCTCCCAGATTTTTTCGCCAGTGTCCGGCGGTCTCTTTCTTTAGTGTTTTTTTAAGTTTTTTTTTTTTTTGTTTGGTTTTTTTTTGTTTACCCAGCCCGACGATACACGTCGACGGTAAGTGTGCTGTCACTCACAGTAATTTAGCGTAATTATACTGTCAATGATAGTTAATTAACGTAATTGTACTGCCGTTGACATTACATTTATGTAATTGTGCTGCCGTTGACAGTAAATTAATGCAATATTATATTTTTTTATTTATTATTATTTTTTTTTATTTTTTTTGATTTGTTGACAAGTCAACGTAATTATATTACTGTCGTTGACAGTAAAATAACTGTAAACACAATAATATTACTGTCAACAACATCAATATTATTATTTTTTTGGGGTGTTTGTTTTGTTCGAGTTATTCACGAAGTAACGTAATAATATTACTGTCTACTATTGTAATATTACTGTTGCTATAGTAATATTACTGTCACTCACAGTAATATTAATTCTTTTGGTTTTTTTTATTTTGTTTACATTTGTTGAACGGACAACATAGTAATATTACTTTATTATACAATAATAATGAATTTTGTTGTGTTAATATTAATGTGCTAGAGATTAATATAGCAATATCAATGTGTTAAACTATAGTTTAGTTAATTTTACTGTGTTTAACAGTAATATAGTTAATATTACTGTCATTCACAGCAATATTGCTGTTTAAACGGAAAAAAAAGTTACAGAAAAAAAAAAAAAAAAAAAAAAAAAAAATTGAAAAGTTGACCGCCGGAATCCGGAAAAAAAATCCGGAAGAAAAAAAAAAAAAAAAATTAAAAAGTCAACGCCGGAGACCGGCGTTGACCGCCGGTCAACGCCGGAATCCGGAAAAAAAATCCGGAAGGAAAAAAAAAAAAAAAAAAAAAATTAAAAAGTCAACGCCGGAAACCGGCGTTGACCGCCGGTCAACGCCGGACTCCGGCGGGAAAAAAAAGTTTTTGAAAAAAAAAAATTTGTGAAAAAAAAAAAGTTTTGGGTCAAAATTGAATAATTTGTGAAAGTTGGGGTCAAATTGAAGTTAAAGTAAGTTAAGGATGAAATTGGAGCATATTAAAGTAAGAGGGGTTATTTTAGTCCTTTACATAAATCTGGACCATGTGTGGACTTATTGGTAAAGGAGAATATTGTCTGGATCTCTTTATGAATAAGTTCCCACTGATGGGCTTATTTGTAATATGCCCTTATGAATTTATTGTTCATTAATTTCAGTTATTTGGATTTCTATGTAAAAAATCAATTTTCAATTAAACTAATTTATATAAAAGTTACCGTTTCACATTCTATTTAATGTTACCTATTGAGTGAAATGAAATATAATTCTATGTAACGTTTCATTTTTTTTTTAAATGAAGGAATCCGCATGTAACTATATAAGTTTACTGGGTAAATCTACGCTCTTGTATAATACCTTGCAAACAATACGAGAGATGTAAACCACACTAGGCTAACCATCTGTGATAAACTCGACCTAACGACCGTTGCCTAGGGGAAATGAACTTGTGGTAAATTGACACAGAACCATTTGCCTCAACCGCTAGGCCATCCCTTGCGGGACTTGTGCAAATATTGAGAAAATTAATAAATGTGCATTGATTATAGTACAAATTAAAGGAAATTACTAAAATATCCATGTGATTAGTTTTTTTTTTCAAATTACTAAAATATCCATGTGATTAGTTTTTTTTTTCCGTTAATTAATTAAGAGTGATTAGTTTTTTTTTTCAGTTAATTAATTACATGTGATAAATGGTAAAATTGAAAATAAGGCCACTAATATTTCATTGGAATTGTAAAGTGTGACAAATAATTTGGGACAAAAAAACTCTTCAAAAAGATGATAAATAATAAATAATATAGAAGAGGTGGAGTATAATTATAAGACATGATTAATATATGACCTAATATTTAAATTTCTAGTATATCTAATCAAATTATTTATAGACAAAACATAATAGAGTTTCCATGGAAGGTACCTCTTGAACCTCCGAAATATAATGAACTTGTATTTTAAACAAAAACTTGAAAAACAAACAAAAGTTGGTTGGTAGCCAATTAATGAATATTTTTGTGGATATATACGTTGAACTTGGTCAACGGTGATTTATAGTTGTCTTTTTTACGTGTCATTTGTAAGTATACAATTATCACGTTTTTCTTCTTTTTTTTTTTTTTTTTTTTTTGTTGTTTGTCTTCTTCTTGAATAAAACGACTATGACGTTTTATAAACTATCATCTTCATCGGCCAGTGTAAGTATATGATTATCACGTTTGTTTTTTTTGTCTTTTTTGTTTTTTTTGTTTTTTTTCGTTTTTTTTTTTTGTTTTTTTTGTTTTTCTGTTTTTTTTTTTGAGTAAAACGATTATCACGTTTTATAGAATATAGATATCATCTTCACCGGCCAATTGGTATCCCGTTTGGTTAAGCTTATTTTAAACAGATGATAAACTCTGATTTTTGATAAAATGTTTTAAGAACTGATAAGCTATTACATCTTATTTTTTGGATTAGTTTTTAAAGTGTTTGGATATGATCTTATAAGCTATTTCACTCATTATAAGAGCTTAAATGAAAAGGTGAGGTAGAAGTACTTAAAAAAAAAACTTATTTGCTCTCAGACAGCTTATAATTAAAAAAAAAAATTAAGATTTTTTTTTAAATACCAAGTACTTTGAAAGAGCTTATAAGCTTTTAAACATCTTATAAATTGTTTTTAATATCTTATAAGTTTAGCCGAAAATCCAGAAACATTTGAAAATTGGAATTTTCAAAAATAGAAATACATTACACATCATAATTGATGATTGATGTTGCTAGTAGACTCAGAGACGTAAATGAGGGAACTAAGGGCATCTCCAATAGCAATGAGGGTACTAAGGGCATCTCCAATAGAGTACGTAAAACGAGTCTTTAAATTTTATTTTAGAGACACAGTTACAGACTCGAGGTCTTTAAAAAAAAGTCATCTCGAGTGAGGAGCCCCATAAAATTAATTTCATTTATTTATTTATAAATTATTCCATACTATAACTACATTTATAGTTTAGTTTTGAACGTAAAATTTTCTATAGTTATTTTCCATTTCCATTATCTTAATTTTTTAATATATCATATACATGTCTCATCTAGAATTTTTTCCCCTTATTTTCAACAACAAAAAATAAATATTTTAAGCAACAAAAATAAATATTTCAACTACAAAAATATAAATTGGATATTCTTAATTTTTTTGATTAATTTAGCGTCAGGAAATTTTAGGTTGTAGTCTCTCTAGAATCTCGATTGGTGTTGATATTGTTACAAAAGATTCTAATAATGCTAATTATGCTAATGCTAATGTTAATTCTAATCATAATTCTAATCTTAATTCTAATCATAATCATAATCCTAATGTTAATTATAATTTTAATACTAATACATATCACTAATTGTAGTAATCACTAATTGTAGTACTAATCATAATCATAATCTTAATAATAATTCTAATACTAATATTAATCATAACCTAATCATAATTCTAATATTAATTCTAATACTATATTAATCCGAATCCTAACCTTAGTGTTAATACTAATGTTAATTCAAAGAATGATATTTATAATCCTAATTCTAATGATAATACTAATCACAATCCTAATTCTGATTTTGCATTAATGTTTTTTGCAATGATCTATTATTTTGTATAAAAAATAATTATGTTCCATCTCGCAATGTTTATATCAAATTCCTTATACGTGGTATATAGCTGAAGCATCCAAAAACTCCTATTAAATATATTAGAAATTAATATTTAATTATATTATCAAACTGACACTAAAATTATTTAAAATATTATAAGGGTATAAGCAAACGTTAAGACGTAAAAAGAACAATAATCGTTGTTAATAGGATAAATTACGAAAATCCTCCCGAACTTAGGCTAAATTACGGAAAACACCCCCACTTATCGGTAATTACCAAAATCCCTCTTATTTTTGTTTTTGTCTTACACGACCCCCTCTTGGTGTAATTTTTTTACCAAATCTTTTTTATTCCGTGTAATATCCCAAAAAAATGTGGATTTCTACCCTTGCAGTTGCAGACGTGACATTTCTTTTATCCTAATTTTTAAAATTTAAACTTACCCTTTTATGGGAGGTAATGGTAATACTAAAAAATTGTGAAGATGTTATATAAGCAGAATTAAGATTCCGTGTAAAGTCCCCCTGAGGGTAATTTTTGTTTTTAAAAAGTACCATAAAGAAATGTCGCGTGTGCAGGGTAGAATCAACATTTTTCGGAGAATATTCCACGTAATAAAAAAAAAAAAAAAGTAAATTCCACTTTCCCCCTTGTACTTTGGCTCGGTATCACTTTACCCCCTTGTCCCCTCGATTGCATCGATTTGACCCATGCACTTGAAAATTTGTCTCAATGTGGCCCTCGTTGTTAGTTGTCAGACATTAGACCTTAACACCGTTTGATCAAAGTCCTGAAATTACAAAATTCATAATTTATCCTGGTTAATATACAACTTAAACTAATTTATACGTATGACCAGATGGTAGAAACTAACATAAAGGCTGATGTTAATTGAAATAGATCAAATTTCAAGTAAACAAAACTCACTATAAAATGCTAAGTAAATAATAAATGGAAAAATAAAACTTAATTTGTGTAGATCAGTCGAATATATTGTGATTTCAAAAAAAATATTGATATGTAGAATCGATATTAGATTCTTACAAACATTATAAAATAAATACTTTTATTTTACAAATATTTTATAAATGAAAATTGACAAAATAAATATATCTTATTATATATGATGGGGAAATAGAAAATTTAAGAATATTTCACTAATTTAGATACATAACTTGTAAGTTAGACAAAAGAACTTATTTATTCCAATACCAAAATATAGTGAGATATATACGCTATTAAAATATTTAAGAATCAATTATTTACGCTAACATACCCTAAATTAATATCTTTATTTTCATATGGTTTAAAATTTTAATTATAAATTTAAAAACTAGTCAGAATATTTGTAGCTAAACATAATTTTTCTCCATGATAGGATGTTAAAGAAAAAAAATCAAAAAAACAATCGAAAAAGTCAACGCCGGAGACCGGCGGCGGAAAAATCAGGAAGAAAAAAAAATCAACGGCGGTGACGGAGGAAATTGTCCATAAAAATGTGTTTTGGGTCAAAATTGAATAAATTGTGAAATTTGCGGTCAAATTGAGGTTAGATTAAAGGAGCAATTTGCTATAGGTCCTCCTATAAGAGATTATATGTGTTAAAATCCATCTAATAAACTCTAATTTCCAGCATATTTAATTATTTGTAATTTGTCAAAAGTACCCCTATCAGTATATGGTAAAATAAATCCTCAAAATCAAATCCCCTATTTTTCACCCTATTATACTGCAAATCCGAAAATTAGAATTGCAAATCTCTTGATATCGATTTCTTCCATGTTTCTTCAAAACCAAAACCTCCACAAATTCTGAAGTCTTCCGTAGGTTTGGGTGTCTGAGCGTTTGCAATTTACAAGGTCGTTTGCAGTTTGCCTTCATTCCGTTTTCCTTCGTTCGATTTTTTGTTTCCTAATTTGCCTTCGTGCCGTTTGCTGTTTAGAAATTGTTTGTTGTACAGTAACAACTCAGGTTGTAAAAAACGCACCACCGCTACGAACGTCGCGCCACTGCCGCAGCCGCCGTTCCGCTTATGACTCTGTAAAATGCAAATAGCAAACTAATAATTAAAACTTGTATTATTGAATTTAAAACAATAAACTACCTATGAATTCGCCAAATGCAAACAGCAAACCAAACAAGGAAAAAAATCAGCATCATCTAATTACAAACAATAAAATGAAAATATGATATGCAATATCTAAGTGTAAATAATAAAAATAAAAATACAAAACAAAAATATCATACATATCATAAAAATGCAAAAAACAACAATAAAGTTATAAAAAAATATTCTATCAATGCAAAAATTGCAATTTGCAGTTTGCAACAAAATCTACTGTTATCGGTTGCAATTTGCAGTTTATGTTTAATGCTGCAATTTGATTTTGCTATTTCATTTTTTTGTTTTTTGCTATTTATTGAACCATAATCAATTAGAAATACAAATATACATTATAAACTCACAACAGATAAATACAAAACGAGAAAAAAAATACTCACTTTGTGCAAGAAAGGAGCGATTTATGTTTGTTGTCCGCTTTTAACTCTTTCATCGAAAAATCATCTAATAATGTAAAGCTCCCATTTCTTTTTTCTTCCCTACAACATAATCCAAAAGGTTTTGAATTCCAAAGGGGAAAAAAATCGAACAGATGTAATCGAGAAACGGTATAGAGAAAGAAAGAAGTTGATCGGAAAAAAACAAATCGAAAAGGTGTTGATCGAAAAGAAAAAAAAATCAGAAGAAAAAAGCGAGAGACATGAGATGGAGAGGACGAGAAAGATGAGAGATTATATAGGAAGAAAGATACGTAAGATTGGAGAGAGATGGAGTGATATATGAGATTTGTTTTCTTATTAATTGAGGTGTTTATGTCCATATACTAATTGTTTTATTTTATTTATATTATTTTTTTGTGAAAAAGTACCTATGCCTATATTCATCTAGCAATTAGGATATCTACCTTTATAAGTTAAGGAGTGTCTAGCCAATTTCCCCTAGATTAAATTAGAGGATTTAATTGGAGCATATTACAGTATGAATGGCTATTTTAGTCTTTTTACAAACTTCTAAACCATATTTGAACTTTCTTGTAAAAGAGTTTATTATCTAGATTTCTTTATAAATAAGTACTCATTAATGGACTTATTTGTAAAATACCCTTTAAAAAAAACAACAAAATGCTTACTAATTCTTTTATTGTTTTTTCAAATTAATATCAAGAAAAAAAAAATTGGGGACGCTGCACCCAACCCCTGTAAATTCTTCCTTCATTCTCGCACCCCAAAAAAATTCATCTTGGATCAACCCTTGTAGATATCCACGTACTCACCACCAATAAAACGCACGCCTAAGTCACCAATCGAAAATTCAAGAAGAATAGAAAGAAAGTTTAAAGAAAGCTAAAATTGAACATACCTCTTAAATTGATATAATGAATGATCCAAGTATTTATAATTGAAGATTTTTCCCACATCAAATTAGGCATCATATGCCTAAATCCATTAAGACACATTCGAAAAATTTCATTCCAATTTCGATCCCTACGCTCACAAGAGAAACACGAGAGAGAGAAAAAATGAGAGAGACGGCTACGATCCACCCGTAACACTCCCGCCAAAGATCTCGATTACATCTCCTTGAACAACACGGTGCCATCTAAAAGACCTATCATCATCCATTACATTTTGCTTGTAAATAAAAAAATACCCTTCTTGTGGAAGATCCAATTTCATCTTCTGCAGCTTCATCCTCAGCTCCCCGACGCTATTCGAACCGTTCACCTCCACCGGAATCTTCTCGTTGCCGCCTTTGTTCAGAACACAAATCCTCAACTTCCCCGGCCCACCACCACCAATGCCGCCGCTCGTGTTGCCGGACGAAGACCGCGAAGAAGTTCTTCTCGGAGAGGAACGAATGCCCACGTTAAGTTCCGATTTATCCGACAGCTCGCATTCCCGTACGGTCTTATGATCGTGAAGTTCGATCCCATTAGCATGGACCACCGCCAACCGGGCGATCGGTACCCCTTCCATGCACTCGTGGATTTTCTCCTTGAGCCGCTGGATGGTCTCGTCGAGATCCATCTCGACGGTGATTGCTGATTTGGGGGGCGGCATTTTCAGGAGGAGCTGGATCTTCTTCTTCGACGACGATGATGTGGGCGGGGAATCGACGGCGGCTGCGATTGCGTCGGAGGGTAGGAGTAGATGGATTCGGGATCGGTCGAGAATATCAGAGTCGTGGACGTTGAGATTGTCTTGGAGGATGGCGCCATTGAAGACTAGGGTTTGTGTGGAGATAGGGATTCCCTTTTGCTTGTGGATCTTCTCTTTGATCTCGAGCACCGTGTCGAAATAGCCGACTTCGATGTCGAAAGGGTTTCCGAGGCTTGGCTGGAAGAACACATCCATGTGTGACTGTGACTGTGTTTGTGCTTTGTATGTGTGTGAGTGTGTGTGAGAAAGAGAGTGTAGGAGATTTTGGAGAGGTTGGAACAACATTCCGATATTTGATGAATATAGGCAAGATTTTTTGATATGATGTGTCTCAAAATAGGTTTTAATAAAATGAAAATTGCACGTGCTATTTTGTTAGCGGAATTTGGTGGAGATGGAACTGTTTTATTTGATTAAAAAGAACTAAAATATATTAACTATGTTAATGCGTTATGCAAAACAAATAATAAATTAGTATGCTATATTAAAGTAAATTTAAATGAACTTATATTTTATATAGATTAGTCACCGATTTTAAGAGAGAGGAGATGTAAGATATAAGAGTAAAAGGGTAAATTGCAACCAACCCCTGAGGTATGGTGAAATTACGAAAAAATCCCTCTTGTTTGGATAATTATATTTACTCCTCAACTGTGAATTTTCTTACACCTCCACCTTTATTGTGTCAAATTCAACATAATCATCTAAATTCCGTAGGATGTGCTCTAGTTTGTACTCGTTTTGTGTAAAAATACAGCTTTTGACGCACTAAAATCTGATATATACAAACACATCTTATGATTAATTTGCTTTAAAATGTGGAGTTCGAATGGGATAAAACGGGTACAAAAGTGATAACATTACATATAATCTAGAAGATTCCACTAAATTTGAAACTGCAATGATGGACGTATGAGAAAATTTATAGTTGATGGTTGTTATAATTATCCAAACAGGAGGGAAGTTTCGCAATTGTATCATACATTAGGGGTAGTTGTAATTTACCAAGACTAAAATATTTTGTTGAAATTAAACTTGATTTAATGTGTATAAATAAATATTGGGCTTTCAAGAATAGGTATTGTGAAATCAAATTTTAGTCCATATTTTAGAACTTGTAGCCCATTAGACTGTATTCTAGAAATTTAGTCCAAATTTCTCTTCCGACAATATCTAGATATTTTATTTTAAAATATTTAGATACTTCAACGGATAGTATGTAGAAAATTGTGAATATTAAAGTAAGATAATCCTAGCCATGGTTATAGAGGTTAGCTAGTATAAATAGGATTGTAAATCTCATTTTGTATCACAGACTAATTGTAACAAGAAAGAAGAGGGTTGGAAGTTCACAGGGTTCGCCGAAACGGCCGTCCCGGAACGGGAACGGTGCCCGCCGTTCCGTAATCCCTAACAAAACCGTTCTCTACGACGCGGCGGGGCACTGTTACGGCCGAGACGTAGCCGGGAAACGGCACCGGAACGCTGCCGTAACGGACGGAACGGCTCCGGAACGGAAAAATAATAATAAAAAAAATTAATAATTGGGAACGAGACCCTTGACGGAAGAAAAATTGAAAAAAAAAAAGAAAAAAAGAAAATTGGGAACGGATAATTGGTAAAAGAAGAGTGTAAATTATTTTTTAAATTAAAAAAAAAATTTAAATTAAAAAAAGAGTTTAAATTTTTTTTTTCATGGAGTTAAGAGCTAATTTTTTTGGATAATGAGACCCCACTAATCTCTCTAATTTCCTATTAATAGGAGAAAGTAACAATAACTACCATTTGATTCGTCGATCCTCAAAAAAAGAAATAAGTAAAGTTCCAGCATTGAGTGACAATGAGAAATTTATGGAAAGTTACAATCCCCACCACGGAATAGTGCACCTACACGTCTTCATCGCCGTTGTTTTTCGACCGGAAGACCAAGAGCTAACTATCGAGACTTTGGACTATCCGGACACATACTTCGTGAAATGGTTCACGCATGTTTGTTGCCAGGAGCAACAAGATCAAGTTGGTAAGGATTAACCTTTCATTTCATTTTTACGGTCGATGATCATTAAAGGGCCTCTTTATACACGACTACAATTTATGTATGTAAGGAAAGGAAAATAGCAATCATACATATTTTTTTTTTTTATAATTTTTAATAATTTTAGCATATTATGTATTGTAATGTTGGTATTAAAAATATATTTGAAATAAATAATAATCTTTAGCATTTTAATTAAAAGAAATCTGTTCCGGCCGCGACGGAACCGCGACGTGGCAATGGAACTGGAACGACAGTGTCCGCGACAGCCGACTGTTCTGTGCCGGCGAACCATGGAAGTTCATGAACCTTTATGTGTTTTTGTATACAAGACATTGAAAAATGATAACATTTATTAGTGATCACTTTGTTTTTGCAAACAAAAAGATCTTTTTATTTATTTTTCTTCTTTATAGTCGGAAAAAAAAAGGAATTAATAAAGTATTTTAAGAAAACTTGAATTAGGCATCCTGAAGTGACAAACACAGAAGAACATAAGTTGGAGAAAGTAGAGAAGTTAAGACAGTTGCAAAAATTGAACTGTAGCGAGGAACTTTGGCGTGGGCAAGGAACTTCAGTCGGCGTACTCATATGGAGGACCTCATGCCTGAACTTCGGAGATTGGTTTTCAGTTTTTTATTTTTTTCTTTAAAACCATTAGATATTTCCAAATATGTTTGTGATATTATTTGTTTGTCCGTACTGCTTGAAATTATAAGAATAGTTGTAAACATAGAATTTGTGGGTAAATGATTTTTTTAGTCGTGCGTATTTTATAATAAATATAAAGGGGAAATTGGCTAGACATCCCTTATTCTAGACCTATATAGGTGGAGATCCATTCTATTAGATGAATATAGGTGTAGGTCCTTCATCAATTAAAATTGGGCAAATAGCAAAAAGGCCCATCACATGGGACTTAAATGCATTATGGTCCACAAAAAAAAACAGTTTCTCAATTAAGCCCATCCCCATGTCTTTAGTCTAAAATACCCTCAATAATATAATTCTTATCAATTCCACCCATTATGATCTAACTTCCTTAATATTACACATTGACCCCGGATTTAAACAAATATGTCACATTAACCCCCAAAACTTTTTTTTTTCATAAAACAATTTTTTTTTCTGAAATGTCCAGATTCCGGCGTTGAATTTTTTTTTTTTTTTTTTTCTTATGAATTTTTTTTTTCTTAGAAGAAAAAAATATTGTAATTAATATTACTGTTTTAGCTACTAAATTACTGTCTCAGACAGTAATATTACTGTTTGGGACAGTAATATTATGAATATTATATTTTCCGAACAGTAATATTATGAATTTTATTTTTCCGAACAGTAATATTATTAATATTATTGTCTAAGACAGTTAAATTACTGTTGAAGACAATAATTTAGCATCTAAGGCAGTACTATTAATTAAAATATTTTTTTAAGAAAAAAAATGAAAAAAGCCAATTAATAGTTAAATTACTGTCTCCGACAGTTAAATAACTGCTGGAGACAGTAATTTAGCAAACGAATACAGTAATATTAATTAAAAATATTTTTTTTAAGAATAAAAAAGTCAATTAACAGTTAAATCACTGTCTCCAACAGTTAAATAACTGCTGGAGACAGTAATTTAGCAACAAATACAGTAATATTAATTAAAATATTTTTGAAGAAAAAAAAAAGTCAATTAACAGATAAATTACTGTCTCCGGCAGTTAAATAACTGCCGATTTAACTGCCGGAGACAGTAATTTAGCAGTCAAGACAGTAATATTAATTAAAAAAAATTAAGAAAAAACAAAATTATAAAAAAAAAAAAAAAAAGTCAACGCCGGAGACCGGCGGTCTCCGGCGGTCAGCGCCGGAATCTGGCCGGAAAAAAAATATTTCAGAAAAAAAAATTCTGAAAATTTTTTTTTTTGGAGGGTTAATATGATATATTTGTTTGAATCCGGGGTCAATGTGTAATATTAAGGAAGCTAGAGCATAATGGGTGGAATTGATAAGAATTAGGGTTAAAATTGGGGTCAAAATTGAAATTAGGGTTAAAATTGGTTAATTGATGAAATTGGGCTAAATTGGGGTGTAAATCATGAAATTGGAGTTGAATTGGGTTTCAATGAATTGGGGGTGATTTTGGTATATATAAAAGGATTTTCCTTATTTGCAAATAAGTTTGAATGGGGTGGATTTATTTGAAAGACAAAAAAGTTGGATGTCCCTCTTTTAATTAAGTGTCCTTGTCATGGGCCTATTTGCCATTACCCCATTAAAATTAATTAAATTATTTATGTATGGACATAGATACCCCCAATTAATATTTTTATTATTTTTATGTAATTAGTCAATTTAAAAAATTAAGGAAACAAATCCCACATATCTCTCATTCTCTCTCCTCTCCACACCACATAACACGGTTACAACTCTCTCCCCTCACCCACACGCCTCTCTCTCTCTCTCTCTCTCATCCTCATTTTTCTCTCTCGCACACTTATATTATTTCTCTCTCTCAAGCCTCTAGCTAATTTGAATTAATTATTCAGTTTTTTAAAAAAAATCTTTAATTCTATTTTCATAATTATTTTATAGCAATCTTAATTATTAATTTTCTTGAGACCACATGTGTTGGATTTTAATTGTTACTTCGTATGTTTTCGATAGTATTGCATTTTTTTGTTTGCATTTTCTAATTAGTTTTATTTCAGCAAACAACATAATAAAAAATCGGACAACAAAATAAATTGCAACATAAAATAGAAAACTGCAAACTGCAACTTATAACTGAAAATTGTATTATCAAACACCAAAAATAATTTGAAACAACAAATGAATGTGAATCATTAAACAATAATTTTTTTTTTTTTTTTGCGCTCTAGAGGACCTTTTACATGTTAGCAACATGAACAAAAAATGGATCATCTTTTATCTTTTTTGGACGAATACAAGTTGAAACGTACTCGCGAGCATAAATATTTGTCACACACAAAGAGTGTCCAGTGCCGAAGTTCGACAATGGGACATTCACCTAATGCAGCGGGAAAAAAGTATAACGAAAATCGCTCATATTCTTTCACACCATGAACTTTTTCACCATTGACATTGATTTCGTGGACGTCCGTATGCATTTAATATTCCTTTTCCTCTCTTCGATGTTGTTGAACAATGGCTTGGTCCCTTTTTTTTTTTTTTTTGCGGTGGCCGTTGAACGTAAAATAAAAAGAGAAAGTGATTGAACGTTACGAAACAACAAATGTAATAATTGCGAATATGAACAACCACTAATTGCAAATTGCAAATACAAACGGTAAAGACAAACTGTAAACAAAAAATGATAAAGAGAGAAATATAAACTGTAAACAATGAAGTATAAACTGTAAAATGTAGAAATCCAAAACGAACATATTGAAATTCAGTTTGCAAACTCATAACGAAGAAATGCAAATAGCAATGTCAGAACAAATAATTAGGTTCATCAAATGTATTGTTTTAGAATAAACATAACCAAAGTCGTAACATAAACAAACCCCTCAATTTACCTGATTTCGGGGATTGAAAATCATCATCCTCCTTTGCTGTTAAGGAAAAAAAAAACGGGTTCTCAAATTATTATTGAAATATTTGAAATAAATAGCAAACAAACAAAATACAAAAGCAAAAAAAGGAAAAAAATACAAAATTAATAATAAAAGAAAAAAAATCAATATCGAAAACCCAACATGCAAATAAAATTTTACACAAAGGATCATTGATTACCAAGACTTAATCGTGTTTTGGCCATCGTATGAACTCCAAACAACAAACCCTAAACACCAGCCGTTGATTCCGAACAACAAACAATTTGTAAACAGCAAATAGAACGAAGTCAAATTGGGCAACAACAAATCGAACGAAGGCAAACGGAATAAAGGCAAAATTCTCAGACCTGGTAATTTGTAAACAGCAAACGAAACAAATGCAAATAGTGAACAGCAAATTTGTAAACAACAAACGAAACAAATGCAAATAGTGAACAACAAATCGAACGAAGACAAAATGCAAACGACCTGGTAAAACTGCAAACGATCAAACACCCAAACCTATGGAAGGATTCAAAATTCGTGGTGAGATTTTCGCTTTGAAGAAACAGGGAAGAAATCGATTTCCTGATGTTTGCAATTATAATTTTCGGAACAACAAACCCTAAACACCAGCCGTTGTTTCCGAACAACAAGCAATTTGTAAACAACAAACGAGACAAATGCAAATAGTGAACATCAAATCGAACGAAGACAAAATGCAAACGACCTGGTAGAACTGCAAACGATAAAACACCCAAACCTATGGAAGGATTCAAAATTCGTGGTGAGATTTTCGCTTTGAAGAAACAAGGAAGAAATCGAATTCCAGATTTTTGCAATTATAATTTTCGGATTTGGAGTATAATAGGGAGAAAAATAGGGGATTTGATTTTGAAGATATATTTTATCGTATATTAATAGGGATATTGATAGGGGTACTTTTGACAAAATATAAATACAAAAATTTGCTGGAAATTAGAGTTTATTAGATGGATTTTAACACATATAATCTCTTATAGGAGGACCTATAGCAAATTGCCCCATAAAAAAAATAAATAAATAAAGAAAAGGTATTTGAGATAATTATTTATAATTTTAAGGAACCAATAACAAATATTATATATATATATATATATATATATATATATATATATATATATATATATATATATATATATATATATATATATATATATATATATATATATATATATATATATATATATATATATATATATATATATATATATATATATATATATATATATATATATATATATATATATATATATATATATATATATATATATATATATATATATATATATATATATATAGACAATTACTCGAAAAAAATGTGTATATGTGTTGAATATAAAAAAAAATTACTTCTAATTATGCCAAACATCATGTTCTAGTCGCAGTTATATGATATACAATTATAACTTGTAGGTATTATATTGTTTGTATTGCATATTATTAATTTATTATACATAATACCTTACCGTATAAGTAAAGTAAAACGATCCATATATAGATTTGAAATTCAAACTTTAGCTAAACCAGTTGGTCTGTAAATGCTTCTTAAAAACAAACATGTTATCAATCAACTGAAACAAAGTGTCTATAATAAAATATAGGCGAATCATTTTCAACATATTGTACATACATAAACACAAAACCCAACAAGTCATTTTCTTTTTTCTCGAAAGTTTGAAATATAAAGAAATCACCAAACCAAACGACCCCTTAAATCGAAGCCTCCTACCTCCACGTAGATCCGCCAAGCCTAATCACCTCCTCAGTGCCACCTGGCCTGCTATGAACCTTTTCATCGCCCCTATCCTTCTTCTCACCATTTGCTCGAATCCCCATATAAATCCTTAAAGCTTCGCAAGATTACTTGACGTTGATGCATTATTATTAGAAGAACCACCACCACGATTTTCGTCATGCCCACTTCGTTCGTAAATGCTTCCACTTCTGCTCCTGCTCCTGCTCCTACTCCTGCGGGACCCACCTTCTCTACGCTCGCTCCTATCGTAATCCCTTCTATAGCTATCTCGAGACCTTCTCTCTCTATATCTATCTCTATCTCTCTCTATATCTCTATCTCTGTCTCTTTCTCTATCTCTTTCTCTATCTCTATCTCTTTCTCTATCTCTATCTCTGGCCGATTCTCGATCAGGCAAATCACGACGAACTGGAGATGAGCCCCTAGTCGATGCACGATGTGGAGCGCGTTGACCAAAAGAGACGGAAAGTGAGGCCTTCACAGAAGGGGGCCTCCTCACAGTGTCGTCGGCCCCACGCGTGGTCTCACCAGTAACTCCGCAGTGTTTCGTCGGTAACTTTAGATTTTCGAGATTGGCTACGATGCTTCGTATAACTAGTACGGGGATGCGGGGGAATAGTGTGTCGAAGTAATACTGCACCAAGAAATTATAAAGTTGTTGGAACTTGTCTTATACTACCTCCGTTTCATATTATCTGTCACTTTAGAGTTCCAATAATAGTTGCAATAATGCAATAAATTCCTTAATGTGTGTGTGAAAATCTTAAAGGACAGATATTATGGAACGGAGGGATAAAAAATATGGTGAAAAAAATATGAAATTTGACCTGTCCAAGAAGCAAATCGCGCAAGTACGCACCCATTGAAGTCGTTCGGCCATTTGAACCAGGAGAAAATTCCTGAAATAGAATCAAGAATATCCCATAGAATTAAACTTTATCCGATGGAACCAATTCGGACAAAAAAATGATGTTGAGGAAAGAAAATTGTACAGCATAACTACCGGAGCCAATTTGGTAATAAAATTCAAATATAATTTAGGGAAAAAGAACTGGAACATCAAGTACGAAAGCACACGGTGCTTTATCAAGATTTAAAAAACATTTTCTTTTGTTTTCTTGAAATCATGTTTATTACACAAAAGCAGTTCACCTGCACAGTAATGAATCATGTTGATGAACCACTGTGTAATTGTAAATTCCTTCGATCCTTGTCAATGGGCTACCAGAAACTGAGAACAGAATATTTCAAAATTATATAAAAGAGTTCTATACACATAATCCGCTAAGAAAGATCACGGACTCATAGCAGGCAGTGGACAATAGCATGATAACCAAGGTAGTTAAATCAGGATTTAAATCGTAAAATCATCGATCCTACGATAGTACACCCTTACAGATAGTCAAATCATAGTGAAATTGCAAGTCCCTTAAATCGGTTGAAATCGGGCGCAAAATCGTTAAGATCAGTCAAATTGCAAAAAAATAAATTAAGTATGTTTAAATAATGTTACTATGTTTAATTTATGTTAAAACATGTTTTATCAATGTGCGGATATTTTATTTTTGTTAGGACATATTAGATATATATATAATGGTTTTGCTATTAATTTTTCAACATATATAAAATCTTACGATTTTACGTTTCCGATACCCCTCACTGATTCAACTTAAAATCTCGATTTTTGACTACCATGACGATAACTGAAACGGTGCATGGAATTACAAGTCCAGTAAAAAGTAAACAACGAAAGCAGGCAAAGAAAAAAAAACTTTATGACGGATGGTATTGATCGAGAGACAGCATTGTTTTTACATTGACTTTCGATCAACACAAACATGTATAGACACCACCTTAATCTCATACATGCTATGGACTAAAAACACAACTAATGGAGAAAACAGATCGAATAAAGAGCTTCATGATAGCCAATTTGATAATCCTAGATTCGGGTATTTCCAGATAATGCTAAAGCATGTTGAATCGATTAATTAACCAAATCAAGCCATGATAGCAATTTGTTGATCTCACTTGACATCAAATTATTAATGCGTTTTTTCGATCTGCTTCATGAAATGCAACATGGCTTAGGGTTTATTCAAATTGCATGAAAACTAAATATCGGAACTTCATACAACATTAATAATTCTGCAAAAAAACTGGAAGAATCTTTTTCTTACCTCGTCATCTTTTATGTATGGCTCATACCAACTCCACAATGTCTTTGGATCTGCAACATACCTTAAGTAAAGAAAACCAATCTGGAAAAGAAAAAACAAAATGTGAGCATTAGCTATTCCGCACCCAAAAAGGAAAAATAGACTGTGAAGTCAAACAGACGTAAAGCTTTACGTGCAGAAGTCCATGAATTCATTACACTTCAAAAAGTCGGTCAAAAATTAAATTGGTGGTCCAGGACCTAGAGTGGATTGGTACAATAAGTTTTCCTTCCGTATCAAAGCATATTAACAGTTATTTTTACTCCCCAAAAGAAACAATTATTAAACATAACAGTTATGTTTACTCGATCATACAAGGAAACTTTTTAAGTTCAATAAATTTTCTGCAAACAGCAGAATAATACAAAGTAGCATTCACTAACTGAAAATTTGTTAACAGTTGTTGATTTATTCAATTATTACGAGGTCAAGTTTGTAACTTTAGGGAAAGCGAACTTTTCGGTCTCGAAAATTAACCTTGCACTAATCAAATGCATCTTTAGCAGTGGAATTTCAATCTGTGCGATCTATCTTTCAGCAGGATTTTGTACACAGCAAAATATTTCAAGATTCGTATTTAATCTTTTCACTGTAAACTATTTATTTTAATTAAATGACTATAGTAATGGGTAATTTTCTCTTGCTTCTTTCCTATATCGAGTTTTCCACTTCATCCACATTTTATACTTTCACACTCGTTTAAGCAGCTATTCACAATATGATAACAATTAAAAAATCAACTTTTTTTTTCTTTCTAGCCTCAGCTGTATTTAGTGTAACCCTTTAAATGAGGACTTGCAAAATCTGTATTCTATAAGTTTGTTCATCGAATCTTATTCCTCCATCAAAATTATTTTACGTGCAATCCTTACACTCTACAAGAGAAGTTATAACTAGACTTACTATCAAGAGCATCTCCCATAGTGGTGTTTGGTGAGAGATCAGGGGTTCGAATCCCTTTATGCACGTGCGTAGTACGGCCATATTATAAGACCATTTTTTTAATTAAAAAAAAAAAAAGAAATCTAGACTTACTAATTTCTTCCCAAAACACTAAGGCCTCGTTTGGTTGGGGAGATTAGCCATGATTAGCTAAATAATGAGACTTTGTTTGATGTTTGGTATCCCCAATAACTTGCCGGGTCGACCCACAAATATTATGTTATCATGCCTTATAGGCATGTTTTTTATTGGATCTTCCAAGGTCCAATAATACAATTGTGTTCCAATAATCTAATGAAACCCAATTGTATTACTGGACCTTAGAAGATTCTATAAAAAACATGCCTAGAAGACAAGATAAGCAATGATAACATAATATTTGTGGGTCGGCAAGTTATTGGGATACCAAACATCAAACAAAGTCCAATATTTAGTTAATCAGGGCTAATCTCCCCAACCAAACGAGGCGTAAAAAGAACTACAATCAGGGCACGAGTCTACTTACAGCTCTTATGTAGGGAGAATCGGGGTGCTGCAAGAGGCCGTGCATCTGTTTGACAGTGAGTTTCATAGTGAAGAATTTGTAGAGAAGGCAGTACGCAGTCGACGGGCCCCGGCAGTTGCCTGTCATCCACGGCTCGACGTGCGTGACAGTTACGTAAATCTCGTCGATCACTTCATTGTACGTGTTCAATCTCAAGAGGTCCCGATAGTAATCAGACGAAACTATATTTATCGAAAGGACCTTCTCGAACAACTGATCGATTGGCCTCCCGGATGACTTTATCTCCCCCATTGCTGATCATCCACCACCTGTAAAAACAAAAATTGGTGCCGTTTAACTAAACCTAAAATTCAATCATAAAATCACCAAAAATTCTACCCATCACATCAAATTTCCAAAAAAAAAATGGTGCCATTTAACTAAACCTAAAATTCAATCATAAAATCACCAAAAATTCTGCCAATTAAGGGGAAAGTTAGAAACTCAAAAAAAAAAAAAATTAATGGCGAAAACTGTTTCTAATGGCGAGTGAATTTAACTGCAGACACGGGAATTAGCACAAACGAAAGTACGAGGAAATTGAAACGGAATGGATAACGGAAGTAATCGAGCAACTGTCGGAGCGCGTACCGTTAGATCATCTGCCGATTGGAACCAATGATTCACGAATTGGGAATATATATTGGCTTTCTAATGGATGAATTGGTGAGGAAGAGAAAAGGGGGAAAATGTTGGGAGCTGATTTGGAGCCCTAGATGCAAATATCACAACTCGTTTTAATTTGGGTCCTTAAAGAAAGAGTTTTGGCATCGCCGCGTTGTGGGACCCGTTTTCAATTAATTCTTGAATTTGTTAAATCTTTTATTAAATTACCAAAACCCCCTAAATTTATGTTAGATTACAAAAATACGCACATGTCTATCCATAATTACTGAAGCCCACGATGTTTGTTTCAGTTTTATAGCAACCTCTTTATGACGTAATTTTTCACGGAATTTTTTTTATTTCAATTAATATTTCCCAAAACAGTGTTTTCGTAAATAAGTTGTCGATTTTGTAATTTAGATCGTGTTTTCGAGAAAAAAAAAAAAAAAAAGATGTTGGGCCTCTTATGCGGCTACTGCAATGTCGTATGAAGCATGATGGGTGACCAGAATCGGTGGACGATTTCGTAGTCAAAGACGGCATTTACCTCATAAAAAGATGTTAGAGCCCTAATTCGGCTATTGTGACGTCGTAGGAAGAATGATGGTGGCCGGAGAAGACGACTATTGCAGAGGCGACAACGACGACGACGGCAGAGATAAGCGAACTGAGGCAGTTTCGCGGTGGGAGAAGGTGGTTTCCAAAAATGGGATTTCACAGTCGATTTTGGAGGGATATGGAGTGAAATGGCTGGGATTTGATTTGTGAATGTTGGTAAATTAGATAAACAAAATTGAGAAAGTGGGTTGGTGGGAAAGGGTATGAGATTAAAAAAAAAAACCTCAACTTTCGTCAAAAAGTGAAATGAAGGTTAGGCCTCTCCCTATCAATGTAAGAGCCTCAAAAGTTTAAGTTATTGGCTATGTAATATGGGCATGGAAACGGTGATACGGGGATATAGAGAAACGGGCACAAGAAAACGGCATGTCCTAAAAATGAAGTTATAGAAATTTGGGGGAAATGCATAAATATTAAAAATATATGGATATATTTATAAATATGCTATATAAACATATACAAGTTTCCATCAAATATATTCAAAATAAATATTAATATCAACTACTAATTTGCGATTAATCATGTAAATAATTAGGGAAACATTAACAATATTTGAAAATTTGTTATTCAATCATGTTTCTAACTTTACAGAAATTGCGTTATGGCCCATGAGGTATCCTGCAGGTGTCCTTGAGTGTCGAACACGAAACGTGTCTGAAACACGGATACGTTAAGAAGTTGAAGTTTCCGTGCTTCATCGATTATTAGTAAGCTGAAGTATTTGTTGTATATTTATTTTCAGTACGGACCTCTCCTCTAAACGAGAGAAGCCCTAGATAGGTATACCAGCTTAATCCTGGTGGTTTAGAGTCCTTGTTGGTTCTTCATTACAAAGTTTCATATTCTAAATCTTTGATCTATCCAATTTATTATTTGGGTTATCTGTTTTGCCCGTGTTCTTTACATTTTGTTAGGTGTTCTTTGCATTTTGTTAGGTTTCTATTTCGGGCCTATATGTCATATTTAGCTATTTTTTTTTTGTTTGTCGGTTGCTATTTCTGGTTTTTGATGGGATGTAGCAATTTGCACGAAACTCATTATATACTCATTAACTGTTCTTTTCTTTTATAAACAAGTAGAGGGTCAAGCCTAACCCCACCCTAATCAGGTGTCGTTCTCTCTCTCTCTTTTTTTTTTTGTATTAAAGGTAGATATTTTTCAAGGATGAAAATATGAAGACAAATATAAAGCCACATGAGAAACATCTTAAGAATAGAACTCAATTGAAGTACATGTCCATTTATTCCACTCAAAACTAAACCAATGAACTTACTACTCAATTACAAAAAAATCATGTAAGCAAAAGAGACGAAAATTAAGAACAACACCACCAAAAATTCAACAATGTATCGTATATTATCGGGGCCGCCTTCCAACTCTGCAAATGTTTATTACCTGCACGAAATTCGGCTGCTACGTTTGCAATTTGTTGTCATAAGGAAACTTGGCTCCCGAGGAATTGTCAAAGGCCTAGTCGATCTATAACCAACGTAATAATAATAATAAAAAAAAAAAAAAAAAAAAAAAAAAGTAAATAATAAAGTTAGCCACATTCTTGAATTAATTTACCTTTGTGGTAAGAATGGCTTGTCGAAAAGAGGCATCAATTGAGCTCTCGGAATCATCTCCTTTCTAATCATTTTTACCTCTTCCTCCTCTATTACCTGCATGCCCTCGTCCCCCGAGTCGAAAAATTTCGTTAATATAAATTCGACTAATTATTTGTATAGTACTATTTTTATTTGTAATTAATTTTATATATGTATACATATAATATACCTTGAGCACTTTCTCTACTTGTTTCTTGTGTTGCTCTATGATGCAAAGCTTGATTGAAACCTGCATGTATTTTCTTACATTAGTTAAGAAAAAAGAAGCCTATGTAATTTATTGTCTTTTTTAATTTTTTTTTATTTTTAGAAATTGTCTTAGGATTTTCGATCGATTTGTACTTACGGAGGAGTCGAAAATCGCACGCTGTGCTGCTCTTTGTTGAGTATGGAGTCTAAACTCCGACGGCTTAGTGTTTTCTTTTATCCAACACTTTTGAAGATCCTAACATATAAAGAAATTATCTAACTATATTTGTGAAATTAATTTAAATGAATTTTGTTCGAAAGATTGAATAATTATACCCCATAAAAAGAATTGCTACTTCTCATCGACGATCCTCGGTTAGGTGATGAAACTGCAGACTGCGAAACGCTCTTCATCGACTAATTAACAAACAATGCAAGTTATAAAAAAAAAATAAGCTTAGTTATATTAAGCTATTAATAGTAGAAATAATTATGCATTAAATTAAACACTCACCTTTTGAGCAGATTTCTTATCTGGGCTCTCCATGATTACTAGCTTAATTAGTAAATTTAATTATGTGATGATATGTGTCTAATTGAACTGAGGTATATATAAAGCTAATTAATTAATCAATAAATTTGAATGGGGTTTGGAGATTTGTATGTTTCCATGGGGAATTAATCACTTGCTGTTGCTCAATCACAAACATGTTTGAAGAACTTTTTTGGGCTCTATTTTACCAAACATTCTGATTAAATTTCCCTCTCATCATGTAATATACATAATTCTTTTTTTTTTTTCTTTTTTTTTAAAGAACAACACCCGGTGAAGGTCTATAGATCAAAAATCAACGAGTGCATAAATAATTTTATACGAAATAGTATAACCTGAAAAATAGCTAAAAATATCAACTACCAAAAAATAAAATCTATCCAAAATAGATTTTGATAGATTTTGTTGTATGTGAAATATTACACATTGGATTGTTTAATTGGTTGATTTTTCTTCAATTTTCTTGAGATGAAGAACTGTACTATAGACTATAATTGAGTTCTCCTATCGAGACCTTCCGCGGAATCGACAAAAATGGCGGGTTTTTTTTTTTTTGTCCTTGTGGTGTCTTTCATTAGGTAACACGTTTTGATCCTTTGGAACAACTCAATGAATTCAAGGAATAATACTTGGTAGAGAGATCCAATCTTGAGTGGAGACAAACCCCTCCGACGGAAAGTATTCCCTCCCAAAGTTAAATAAAGCAAGCATAAAGGGGTTATTTCGTATTCCAGGCATTGAAGGATGAAATCAAAAGACATCAAGGCCTAAGTCAGACGTCGATTCGGCGTCTCTAATTCAGAACATAAGTGTTGTATGATAAATTTGATTGTAAAATTGCACTTTTTTTATTCCATAGTATGTTAGAGACCTGTAATTTATTGTTAGACCACATTGTAAATAATCAAACATTCAAAATTTTGGGCGAAACTTAGGTTAGTCCCCCAAGGGATGGCCTAGCGGTTGGAGCAACTAATCATGTGTCAATTGACTTAGGTTCGAATCGTCTTACCAGCGATTGTGAGGTCGAACTTGTCACACATGGTTAGTGTAATGCGGTTTACTTCTTTTGTATAGCTTACGAACTATTATACGAGAGTACTGTAAGTTTACTCAATGCATCTAAATAATTGATTGTGTGTTCCTTCGTTAAAATAAATAAAGATAAATTCAAAATTCATATTATATTGTGCATTACATGCTCTATAAACACTAGTAATTTTTAAGAAAGTTAGATCCACTAATTAAATATTATAAAAATATCATGTGTTTACATTGTTCTAAGTACAAACACAAAAGTGGACAATCATGCGAGAACAAACTTTGATAAAGTAGTTTGAGTGGTTCTTCATTAAATTATTCTCCATCAACATCATTAATAGTGGAATTAATCCATTAGTAATGATTGGTCAGCACTAATCAGGTATTTTGTTGTTAAATATTTTATTTAGTTTATTTATTTATTTTCTTTGGTTGAAAATAAATAGAAGGTTATGGGTAGTTATTGTTTTCTTATCATATGAGATTTATGTATAATTAGAGGCGGTCATGTTGTTAGGTCATAGTTCCATGATCAATCTATTCATGAAAATTGTGGAATTATGCTTGTGTTAGAAGTTAGTTTATATTGGAAAAGCATTTTTTTCTTGTGCTGAAAGCTTTTAATTTGTAGCTAGTAATACTTTCTATTCGCAGAGGTTGTTGATGCATACAGTCTTATAACTTATGTCAATTCACACAAGTTCACTTGCTCCAACTGTTAGGTCATTCTTTGCGGGATATTTATTTGTTTTTTTCCCTTTTTTTTTAATACTTAATTCACTAGTAGAAAAATCACTTTTTATTACGACCATAACCATAGCAAACTGTACTAAATTCATATTAAAAAATGCTCTTACTACGTATTAGCTGCGAATTTGCCCCTATCATATACGAGCATGACAAAAACTTTGCTATGGTAAATGACCTTTTTGCAATAGTAAATTATAGCATTTACTTCGACTCTAAAATTATCGCATAGTAAAATTTTATTTTACTACGGATTTTTACCGTAAAAAAAAATTCATAGTAAAACACCATTTTTATATTATTAGTGAGTAGTGATCATTAATTTCATCAGCCTGTGGATGTATGTGTAGTCTTTTTTTCATAATTGTTCTAAAAAAATTGTATTATTAATACTTACTAATAAGTTGACCCTTACTATGCAACGGGATCAGAATAAAATTAATGTAAAATGAAATTTTATTTTAATCATAAAATTAAGGTTTCAAAATAGAATAGTTTAAAGAAATTATTAGGAAACCCCCTCATTTATAAATTGCCTTTGGATAGATTAAATTTTTTTCTCCTATTTGATATAAGTCCTAATTTAATATTAAATTTTAGTAAGTCAATTATGCCCTCCATCCAAACTCTATTGAACAGATAAATTTAAAAGAACACTAAATAGAGGTAATTTAGTTAATCTGCATCATATTGGTTTTATGTCCTATATGGATTTTAAATTTTGGAACTATCACAATAGGGAATTTCATTGAACGGTTTTGGCAAAACTAAGAAATAATGGAAAAAAAAAAAAAACACCTTAGTTTTGGAGCATCTCCGACTGGTTTCACCATTTTTTCACCAAATCCCATTTATGGCGGTGAAAAAATGGGTTCATCTCCCACCGGTAACACACCATTTTACTACTCCACCATTTTTGGTGGAAAAATGGTGTTTTTGGTCTCCAATGGGTTTCACCAAAATTTAGACCAAATATTAAAATAATAATATTTCACCATTTCACCACTTATAGGAAATGGGATTTGGTTTGGTCTCCCATGGCATTTCACCATATACGCCCCAAAACTATAAATATAATGTTAATCATAATTTTATAATATTTTATTTCCTAAATATTAATTATAGATCCAATGTTAAGTAATAAATTTTCTTAACTATATAATTTAAAAATTATGTTATCAATTTAAAAAAACTGTCTAAACATGAAATAACATGAACTCAAATTATTTTAAATATAATAAAATCATATATAAACAATGATTTCATAAATTATTGCATAAATCATATATTAAGTACGACATGAGAATTTAAATAAGCAGTTCATGATGATTTAAATTTATATAATTTGTGTTATTGTTTATCATGTTTTGTTATCATGTTATGTTGTTTGTTATTTTATGAGCTATGTATTTCAATTTAAATATCTGTATTTCATCAATTAAAGTGTGTTTCGTTAATCTTTCTATTGTTGCTTATTATATTTTATTAATAGCAATTAGCGTATTAGTTAAGTAAAGAAATGAACTAATAAACATTGATACCAAAGCACATTTATATTATTAAAATTAATGTTTTGTTAATAATAACAAATGTATTTATATTTTAAAAACTAATTTAATAATTAGTACCAATTTATTTACGATAAATATGCTAATAAGTTGGTAATCGGATGCAATTAGTTAAAATCGTCATTTTATATGGTACTTAATAAAATGGTGTTAATTACGCCAAATCCTATTTTCACCTCTATATTTGGTAGGAAAAATAGGATTTGGTGGAAAAAAAATAGGAAAATGGTGGACCGGTGGGAGATGAAAATTCCTTCACCAAAAAATTTGGTAGAAAAATAGGATTTGAGTATTTGGTGATATGGGGGTTGACCACGGTGGGAGGCTAAAATCAAATCTCTATAATTTTAGGTGTAATGGTAATATAGGAATTTCGGGTGGGAGGCTAAAAACACCTAAATTAGATGAAAAATGGCGTTATGGTGTCCGGTCGGAGATGCCCTAACGCTTATGATGCATGGAAACTTTAATCCACACGCATTTCCACGTATCGGAAATGTATTGGAAACCGAAACTCCATGACACCTGTCGGAAATATTTCAGGGCCGTTTCCATATATATTTAAAAGTTTCGAGAACGTGTCCGATACTAATGAAAAATTGGAAACGCGTTTCCATACAAAATAAATGCAAATTTCATTTTAAATAAAAACTCCAAAATGCATACGCTTAAAAAAATCTTAAATATTATGTCTCATTTTCACTTCTAGTGGTGTTTTAATATTTTTGTAGATGTTAATTCCATAATAAAATAAATTTATATGCGTCGAGTGTAATTTGTGGAATGATATTAAACATTATAATATCTTTCAAAAATTATGAATGCACTCCTATATTTTTATTATTTACGCATTTTCCCACGTTCTCATATCCAACTTTTTTAAAAGCGGAGTTTTTTCGTGTTCGTTTTCCCTGTTCTCCTGTGTCGGCGTTTCCGTGTCCGTGCTACATAACTTAACGCTCATCAACCACATGAACAATACTGAATGTGGGCTTTTGCCAAAGGATTACTACATTCTTGGAGTGGAGATGTTGGGAAGGGTCTTCTTCGATTCCATAAGTCACCAACATACACCTCCGTGTGACGGAGACGGAAACGGTGATACGGAGAAATAGAAAACGGATACGTAGAAACAACATATTCCAAAAATAGGGACACAGGAGCTTGGGGTACATGTAAATATTAAAATTATAGAGGTATATTTATAAATATGGTGTATAAACATACATATGTTTTTATTTATATATAAATTCTGTTTATATATTCATACAAACATATTCTAAATAACTATCAACCATCAATCTGCAATTGATCATTAAATCTCGTAACTAATTAGGGAATCAACAAAACTATTTGAAAGCTATTTAAACATGTTTCTAACTTTTTAAAAATTGCCCATAAGATGTTTGGCAGACGTCCTCGAGTGTCCGACGTAAAACGTGTACGAGACACGAAAATATTAAAAAGTTGAAGTTTTCGGGCTACCTAGACATACAATAAAGTTGAGTTTAGATTAATAACTAAGACATAATAAATTATTGAATGAGATGATAATAACATGACCTTAATCTTAGGGGTGCATCTGGATCGATGAAGGGATTTGGGGAAATGATTTCAAATCTATAATAATAAATCTAGAGCCGGGCATGGGTCGGTTTTATCGCCAACCGACCCACTTTCGACTCGCTTCTTTCGGTTGATAATTTTGTTGTCGGTTCGGTAATTTTAACCGACCCATATATAAATGGGTTGGTCAGTGGCTTTCAGTTTCTTAAAAGTCGGTTGGCCGATATTATCTGTTAGAATCCGAGAGGATTCTAATTTCGGGTTTTCAACATGTGTGTGAAAACCATGTATAAAAACTAGGGAAGTTTCCTTAGTTCTTTAAACTCTTATTTTGTCATTAATTTATTTAATTGCCTAAGTGTTTTGTTAACAAGGAATTTTCTTGACTAAGACCTTTCTTGTTACACAACTCTTTCTTTCCTTACGTGAGATCAAATCTAACCTAATGGGCTCTTAATTTTGTGTAGGGCTCTACTATTCTCTAAGGAAATATAAAAAGAAGAGCATCAACGTGTGTGAAGGCTGTCCCTTTTATTTTGAGAGAAAAAGTTTTTCTGCTCTTACGTTGCTGCTCCAGACCTTTGATCTTAATCCGAGAAGAAAATACAGCGAAAGGGTTTGCTTCTTTCACCGAAAAGAAGATCGGTTCTTCGGGAGGAGAACTCAGAAGATCTCGGGAGGAGGTCGATCCGCCGACTGAGGGACTCAGCGTTGAAGGAATTTCAACCGTGCGGAACAAGGGACGTGCTGCAAAGTGAAGATTGACAATTCAGTGTAGTATACAAGAACGGCGTCGACAAAGAGGGAGTCTTTGTATTTTCGATTAAGTCCAATTACTGTATTCGTAAAACTAAAGATTAGTGAATTTCATTTGCAGGTCCCCGTGGATGTAGGGTACAATTGTATCCGAACCACTTTAAAATTTGTGTCTTTTTATTACTGTTTCATTAACTGTTGCAACTCTTCGTAAAACAGTAGAACAGTAGCTAAAACTGATTCTGGAATTTATCGGACACAAATTTATAATTAATTTGCACGAAATAATTCTAACAATTGGCATCAAGAGCCTGTCACTAAATATATCTAGTGAGATTTTGGGAACTTATTACTCTTATTTTGTGCAGATATGAATACTCAACGAGAAGGATCTTCAACTACTCGACCACCTCTCCTAATCGGCTCCAACTACTCATACTGGAAATAAAAAATGAAGATGTTTATCAAATCCATAGATGAAAGAGCATGGCGCGCCATCATAACTGGTTGGACACCTCCCATGGTCAAAGGAGAAGACAAAGAGGAAGTATTCAAACCAGAAGCAGATTGGAGTGATGGAGAGATACTACTCGCAAACTACAACTCAAGGGCCCTAAACGCAATATTTAGTGGTGTTGACGATAATCAATTTAAACTAATAGCGTCATGTGAATCTGCAAAGAGAGCTTGGGAAATTCTTCAAGTCACATACGAAGGAACGTCAACTGTAAGGACATCCAAGTTACAGATGCTGGCCACCAAATTCGAAAATTTGAAGATGGAGGAGAATGAGACGATCACTGACTTCCATGCTAAATTATGTGATATCTCCAATGAATCGTACGCACTCGGTGAACCTTACTCAGAAAGCAAATTAGTGAGAAAAGCGATGCGCTCATTACCTGAAAGATTTGCTTACCGAATTGCTGCCATTGAAGAAGTCAGAGATGTTGACACGCTCAAACTAGACGAACTCATGGGGAAACTTCTAGCACAAGAGCTTAATCATGGTGAAAATCATCGTGAAAAGCCTAGAGAAAAGAAGATAGCCTTTCAAGCTGAAACATCATATGCAACACCCCAAAATTCGTCAACTCAAGAAGATGAGCAAACAGTTGAAGAGACCTTGGCACTACTATCGAAAAACTTTGGGAAATTTCTCAAAAAAATCGGAAAAAGGGGAAACCTTCCCAACACAGGGAAACCCGTGAACTTTCAAAATTCTAGGAGAAATTCAAATCAAGATAACTCAGAGGAGTCAAAACCGAGAAGAATACAGTGTCGAGAATGCGAAGGCTTTGGTCACATTCAATCAGAATGCGCAAACACCCTGAAGAAAAAGAAAAGAATGTCACTTACTACCGTTTGGAGTGATGAAGAAGAATCTGATGATGACCAAGGAAACAACGATCAAGTCACTAACTTTGTAGCATTCAGCAGCAAAGTTCCTCTGGACAGCTCAGAATCAACTGTTGCAACAGACTGTGAAACAGAATCCAGGTATGAAAGTGTGTGTTCTGACTATAACAAAAATCTAAACGAAAATTCTTTTTTTGCAGAGGATCCTAACAGCAGCAGTGACGATGAAGAACCAACCTTGGACGAAGTAAAGGAGGTATATGAAAAAATGTACCAAAAATGGCTCGACGTTGTTAAGGTAAATAACTTCCTGGAAAAGGAGAAGCTTGTGCTTATAGAGGAAAACAAGACACTAAAGGTAAGAATCTCTACTCTAGAGGAGAGGGTCATATCTAGTGATCAAGAGAAAAATATTTTGCAGGCTAAACTCACTCAAACCCAAGAAGCAATTGCAAAATTGAACATGGGTAAAGGTTATCTAGATGAAATCTTAAACAACAATAAGCCAAACTATAATCGTCTAGGCATAGGAGGAAGTCAGCTACCCAAAGTTGATCTAAAGCAAAAGGAAGATCAAAACAGAAAAATCAACTTTGTTAAACAAGCTTCTGTCTCACAAACAGTTGCAACTGTTGAAGCAACGAAGCACCATTCAAAGAAAAGATTTATTCCCACTTGTTTTTTCTGTCAAAATCCAGGTCACATACGTCCTAGATGTTTCAAATATTTAAAACTTGTGAAAAAACTTGTGGCTCGTTCTCTGTACTCTGCTAGGGTTGGTTACTTTCCTTCACCTTCTCAAAAACCCAAAAATAAAATTGATATTTCAAATAGGCCTCAGCAAAAAATTTGGGTTGAAAAGTCCACGTTTAAATGTTTATCTGCCATTACTTCTTGAAAAGCAAGTACTGCTAATGATTGGTATTTTGACAGTGGTTGTTCACGACATATGACCGGTGTTAAAGAGTTTCTGAAAAACTATCAACAAATCACCGGTGGAGCTGTTACCTTCGGAAACGGGAAAAAGGGTGAAGTGCTAGGGAAAGGATCGCTAAATCATGAGAATCTGCCAAAGCTGAAGAATGTACTACTTGTAGAAGGACTCACGTCGAATCTGATAAGCATCAGCCAATTATGTGATCAAGATCTTGAAGTCAGATTCAACAAATTCGCATGTCGAGTCTTAGACAAAGACGAGAATTGTGTCATTCAAGGAACCCGATCACCTGACAACTGCTACATTCTTGTATCTGCTGGTATGAACTGTTTCAACAGTTTGTCAGACTCTACAGTGCTATGGCACAAAAGGTTAGGACATCTGAACTTTGATAATCTCATAAAAATTTCCAGCGGTGAGTATGTTAGAGGTCTGCCCAAACTCACTAAAGAAGTAGGAAGAATATGTGGTGATTGCAAAATGGGTAAACAAATCAAAAGTTCACACATGGCTTTAGCTAATGTAAGAACCAGTAGAAACCTAGAACTTCTACACATGGACCTTATGGGACCAGTGCAAGTAGAAAGTATAGGTGGAAAACGGTACATATTCGTGTGTGTAGATGATTTTTCCAGATTTACTTGGGTAGAATTTATTAGGGAAAAATCTGATTCTTTTGATGTGTTTAAAAAACTGTGCAAAAAGGTGAGTGTTGAGAAACATCATGACATTGAGAGAATTAGGAGCGATCATGGGAGAGAATTTGAAAATTCTTTATTTACTAACTTTTGTGAAAAATATGGAATATCTCATGAATTCTCCGCACCTAAAACACCTCAACAAAATGGAGTGGTTGAACGCAAAAATCGCACTCTACAAGAAATGGCCAGGGTCATGATGAACGCAAAGGAGATTGCTCCTCGATTTTGGGCAGAGGCAGTTAACACTGCATGTCATATCATAAATCGAGTTTATCTTCGACCAGGTACCACTAAAACTCCCTACGAAATTTGGACAGGTAAAAAACCTCAACTCAACTATCTTTGTACTTTTGGTTGTACTTGTTATATTCTGAATGACAGAGAACAGCTTGGAAAATTCGATGCTAGAAGTGATCAATGAATATTCTTAGGCTACTCTCGAAATAGCCATGCGTATAGAATATTGAATCTTAGAACAAAATCCGTGATGGAATCTGCATATGTTCAATTTGATGATTTTAACAATAATGCAGGACCACTGGAGGAGGAACCAACAAAGGAATCAGACAACAACTCCAGTGTCACACCAACAGTTCCATCAGTTGATGCAACCTCTACCATTTCAGAAGAAAGTGACGTTGATTCTGAAACAGGAGATGAAGCTGAAGTCAGACCTCTTGAATTGGATGACAAAACTCACAAGGAACCCTAAAAAAGAGTCAAGAAGAACCATCCAGTGGATCAAGTCATTGGTCCGGTCGAAGAAGGAATTCAAACCAGAGGTAAACCCAAGGTGGACTACAAGGAAATGGCAAGGTATGTCTGTTTTACCTCAATTTTAGAGCCCAAAAACGTCAAAGAAGCCTTATTAGATGAATATTGGGTTCAAGCCATGCATGAGGAACTGGAACAATTCGTTCGAAATGACGTTTGGGTTTTGGTTCCTAGGCCTGATAATGTCAATATAATAGGTACAAAATGGGTCTTTAAAAATAAGTCTGATGAACATGGAAATATCGTTCGTAATAAAGCTAGATTAGTTGCACAAGGCTATAGTCAAATCGAAGGCATTGACTTCGATAAAACTTTCGCTCCTGTTGCTAGACTAGAATCTGTTCGATTACTCATAGCCATTGCTTGTTTTCTAAAAATCAAACTTTTTCAAATGGATGTCAAAAGCGCTTTCTTAAATGGTATTTTAAAAGAAGAGGTTTATGTTGAACAACCCAAAGGATTTCAAGATCCACATCATCCCAAGCATGTTTTCAAATAAAACAAAGCCCTGTATGGTCTCAAACAAGCGCCTCGAGCTTGGTATGAGCGTCTTACAGAATTTCTATCGCACAAGGGATACACTAGGGGTAGTGTTGATCGAACTCTTTTCTTTAAAAAATCAAAGGGAGACATCCTGATTGCTCAAATTTATGTAGACGATATCATTTTTGGATCCACCTCTCAAACAAAAATTGAAGAATTTGTTAAACAAATGTCTAGTGAATTTGAAATGAGCATGGTTGGGGAACTTACGTATTTTTTAGGTCTTCAAGTTAAACAAATGAGTAATGGAATTTTCATAACTCAATCCAAGTATGCAAAAAACCTTGTGAAACGTTTTGGTTTGGAATCTGCAAAAACTGTTAGAACTCCTATGGGAACGAACGACAAACTGTCGCGACAGTTGGATGCAACAGCTGTAGATCCCACACTATATCGAAGCATGATAGGTAGTCTTTTGTATCTTACTTCTAGCCGACCAGATATATGCTATAGTGTTGGAGTTTGTGCCAGGTATCAATCCAATCCCAAGGAATGCCACCTTAGTGCTGTCAAACGAATCATTCGCTATGTAAGTGGAACAATTGATTTCGGTATTTGGTATTCTATGGATACTAACACAACACTTGCAGGCTTTAGCGATGCTGATTGGGCAGGTGATGCAGATGATCGAAAAAGCACAACTGGGGGATGCTTCTATCTTGGGAACAATCTCGTGTCCTGGTACAGCAAAAAACAGAATAGTATCTCACTTTCCACTGCCGAATCCGAATATATCGCTGCAGGTAGTTGCTGTGCTCAACTCTTATGGATGAAACAAATGGTATGTGATTATGGTATTAGTCAAGATTTATTGCATATTTATTGTGACAATATGAGTGCAATTAATATATCTAAGAATCCAGTACAGCACTCTCGAACTAAGCATATTGAAATTCGCTACCATTTCATTAGAAATATAGTAGAGGAAGGAACTGTCTCATTAGAGTATGTCACAACGGAGAAACAACTTGCTGACATCTTTACTAAACCTCTAGATGCACAAAGGTTTGATTCCTTGCGAAATTCGCTTGGAATTTGTATTGTCTGACTTTGCAGTTGCATAAACTGTTGCAACAGTCTGTGTCCAGACTTGCAACTTTTAAAGTTTTTTTGGACACATCACGCATACTGCATTTTGCTCATCTAGATTATGTATTAGACATACTGCATGTGATGAGACCCCTTGTGTATTGGATACTATCTGTACTTTCGAATTTTGTGAGGTAGAACTTCATCAATCCCCAAATGATAGCTACAAAGGCTTTAGCTTATTTACTACCCTTCACAGTCTTGTCATGGTTGAACACTCTCATAAGGAAAAGCTGCCGCTCCAAATGAGTGAAAGCTACTCTTGAATTTTCGTAAATTCTATATATATATAATGTCAATCAATTGGTCTGTGAATAGTTCGAAGCCTTTTTGAGTTGAGTCAGTAAATCACGTGGCCGAAAGCTCGCTACAGGGCTCAATTAGAAAGCCCAAGGGACTACACATTGCACGACCATTATAAATTTTATATGCGGTCAGTGAATAGTTCAAAGCCTTTTTGAGTCGAGCCGGTAAACCACATGACCGAACTCTCACTACACGACTCAATTAGAAAGCCCATGGGACTACACATTGCACGACCATAACTATCTCGATATTTTAATTGCTCTGCTCTTCATGAAAAAGCTACCATTGGTAGTGTGTATATGCTACCTAATAAGAGTGTTCTTGTGCTTGATTTGAGGATACTAAATTTTTTGTTAGTCTCCTTAGTTTATCTCTTGGAGCTTGCTTTTTGTTAAAATTGAAGATAAACCCCATGGTTTGATAGTCCTAATAGTATCCTATTCACTTGTCTTTATTCACTCATATTTTTTCCTTATCACGTTTATTTTTCGTCTTAGTTATTTGATTCTGCATGTTAGGCATTTATTTATTTATTAAAAAAAAAAAAAAAAAATCCGGGGTGGGTTCGTAATTTTTTGCGGCAATCTATTTCTTCGGAGTAACTCACTGTTCTGAGCATTTTTTTTCTCGAAGTTTATTTGAACTGTGTTGGGCTTCATATGCAAAAGTTGAGAGTTGTTGTATCTGAATTTGATTTTCATTGATTGAATTTATTGTGAGCATAATTTTTATATTTGCAATTCTCTCACTTGACTATTCCTAATTGCTAAACTACCCATGAGCAGGCCAACAGTCATCCTTGGAGAATCCCGTATTCATTTTTTCCTCTCCAATTTATCTTCTTCCCTACTGCTCTGTTTGCTTCCTCTTCTTCTTTTGCAGCAAAACCCCAGAAATTCAACGCAATCGAAGGGAATCAACAACATCGTCATGGGCAAACGAAAAAACATCGGTGGTTCATCCTCGTCGTCCAAACGACGGTCCTCACGGCCAGCGACCACGTCTTCGGCGGATCCTCCGCCGCATCGCCGCTCCGGTCACCGATCTGCCGTCAGGGAGCCATGTGATGCCGTGCCCCTCACGGCCGCCTCCGCCGACAATTTTGGCAACCTGCCAATTGTTATTGTCCCTAGGGTTTCTCCACCGCCGCCGTCTCCGCCAGTGACGCCGCCGTCACCCTTCACCTATTCACCACCATCTTCTCCGCTGCCACACTCTGCCTCGTCTTCCGCTACTCGCACCACCGCTGATAACTCTGCACCGGATCCCGTGGTGCCTATCTCTGCTGTCGATGCTTTTAATTCTCGGTTCTTTCTCCGAGCGCATCAAACCCGGTGGCGACTGGTAAGTCAACGAGCTTTTGTCTCTGAGCGTCCCTTGGGTCCCTCGTTTGATGAATTTGGAATTTTTGCTTTGCTTCGTCGTGTTGGTATTTTTGCCACTGTGACTAGAATCTCTCACTTTGAAAGTCAAGTGGTTCATGATTTTTACTCACAAACTTACATAGTGGGGTTTCTGATTGTCGAAGTCATTTTTATGAACGAGTTTATGTTTTTAATCGTGTCTACAAGTTCAATCCTACTCGACTACTTTACTGCCCTTGCTCAGAAATGGGGAGATTCTTCAGGGGGAGTTGACAACGTAGCATCAACCGAGGAACAGCGTACAGGGGGAGCTGATGCAGCTGCTGGAACTACTGATCCAACTGTTGCTCCAACTGTTTCAACAGTCGATACGAATGATGAAGGGGAGCTGTTCGTTGATGCTGAAGACACTGTAGACCAATTTTTTTTTATTTTACTTGTTTTCTGAACAATGGCTTGTAATAGTCTGATAGGGCTTAACTCTGTTCTCCTTTTGACTGATGCTCTGTTTTGAACTGTTCTAACAGTTACTCTATTATGCAGCTTAATTTTTTTTCAGGTACTTGATTAAGGGGGAGGACTTGATTATAATAAATAGATGACAAAGGGGGAGATTGTTAGAATCCGAGAGGATTCTAATTTCGGGTTTTCAACATGTGTGTGAAAACCATGTATAAAAACTAGGGAAGTTTCCTTAGTTCTTTAAACTCTTATTTTGTCATTAATTTATTTAATTGCCTAAGTGTTTTGTTAACAAGGAATTTTCTTGACTAAGACCTTTCTTGTTACACAACTCTTTCTTTCCTTACGTGAGATCAAATCTAACCTAATGGGCTCTTAATTTTGTGTAGGGCTCTACTATTCTCTAAGGAAATATAAAAAGAAGAGCATCAACGTGTGTGAAGGTTGTCCCTTTTATTTTGAGAGAAAAAGTTTTTCTGCTCTTACGTTGCTGCTCCAGACCTTTGATCTTAATCCGAGAAGAAAATACAGGGAAAGGGTTTGCTTCTTTCACCGAAAAGAAGATCGGTTCTTCGGGAGGAGAACTCAGAAGATCTCGGGAGGAGGTCGATCCGCCGACTGAGGGACTCAGCATTGAAGGAATTTCAACCGTGCGGAACAAGGGACGTGCTGCAAAGTGAAGATTGACAATTCAGTGTAGTATACAAGAACGGCGTCGACAAAGAGGGAGTCTTTGTATTTTCGATTAAGTCCAATTACTGTATTCGTAAAACTAAAGATTAGTGAATTTCATTTGCAGGTCCCCGTGGATGTAGGGTACAATTGTATCCGAACCACTTTAAAATTTGTGTCTTTTTATTACTGTTTCATTAACTGTTGCAACTCTTCGTAAAACAGTAGAACAGTAGCTAAAACTGATTCTGGAATTTATCGGACACAAATTTATAATTAATTTGCACGAAATAATTCTAACATTATCGATCTACCGACTTTTTTAATAATTTTTTTATTATAAATATTTTTTTAATGTTAAAATAATTTATAAAAGACGTTAAATATCAAAATACAAATTTATAAACCTCTTCGTACTATTTCTATTTTCTAATTCTTATTTCATATTCTTCATTATATATTTACTTATTGTAGAAGTTTAGTAAAACGAAAAACTCTTAATTTTAAAGTCAAGATTTTTACAACATAAGCTTTCCCAAAATATTGAATATCTTTCGAAAAAAACTTTTAAAAATATCTTATAATTGTAAAAAAAATTAACAAAAACATAAATAATAGATGGCCGATAATATCAACCAACTACCCATTGTTTACTCGACAAAGTCGGTTCCCATCCACTATCTGACCCATAATAGTCGGTTAAATAATGGTTTTCAATTTTCAGCAAAATCGGGTGGTCGAGTTGGATAAGTAATTGGTCGATAATTACCCAACCCAACCTATGCCCTGACCTAAATAAATCCATTGTGTTTAAGAAATCAATAGTTCAAACAAAGGATTTTCTCTCTCTTTGAGAGGCTATTTTCTCTCTCTTTGAGAGGCGGCTACTATCTATGTTCCGACGAATGATACCTTGATCTCTTCACTTTATTTTATCTTCTGTTGTTTATCTTTGGAATCCGGACAATCCGATCGTCTGCTCTTAACTTTGTCTATTTTTTGCTATATTTTTGTTACGTGCTTTTATTGGTTTGTGATCTAGGGTTTCCTTATTCTTTTCTTCTTTCTTCCTTTTTCCCTTATCTCTTTTTTCCCCCGCCTGTCACATCTTGCAGATCCTCTTCCGCTGGTAAGGCTAATCCATCTCTCTCTCCCTCCGGCATCCCTCATCTCCCATCTACTTCCTAGATCGGCTGATGGATACCATTACGGAGAATCTTGCTCGTAAATTTACGCTGACGTCAGACGAAGAAGAAGGGGTAGTGGTACCGGTTACGCAGGCTGCCGCTAGGGTTTCGGAGGTTGAATTGTCTGTGGTTGGAAAGGTACTTTCGGCGAGAGAATATTCGTCCCACACCATCAAGGCGAATATTCTCCGACTACTACAACCGGTGAAGGGCTGTACGTTTGATTCCATTGGGCCAAATCGGTTTGTCATTAAATTCGAACATCACTTAGACTTTAAGCATGCGATGTCAGGCTGCCCGTGGATTATGGATAAACATGCTGTGGCTTTGCAAGAACTCCATCCGGACGACGACCCAACCACGGTAGATCTGAATCACATCTCCATGGTCGTGAGACTCTACCAAATTCCAATTCGTCAGAGAAATATGGAGATGGCTCAACAAATAGGCAACAAAATTGGAGTCTTTATGGAACTTCTGGCCCCGAAGCAACAAGTATACACACAACATATGAGAGTCAAAGTGAGACTTGATGTTACGAAAACCCTGAAGCGTGGGATTTACCTGCATACGTTGGATGGATCGAAGGAATGGGTGTCTTTCACGTATGAAAAGTTACCAAATTTTTGCTTTTTGTGTGGAATAATCGGACATGGGGAAAATAAATGCCATCTGCGGTATGAGGCTAATTTCGTAGATCCGGGAGAACAACTTCCATATGGTCCTTGGATGAGAGCGTCCGTGACAAACTCTGGAGAACCAGCCCGTCTTCCTCTCCAGCCAATGAACAACACCAACCAAAATTCTACGAAATCTCCATCAATTGGAAAAACTAGGGGGGTGAATATCTTTGAGTTCACATCCCAAGGAGTGGCTATTAGGGGTTTTGAACCAAGTTCTGTGGAAAAGGAAAACTTGAATACGGAATTTATGGATGAGTCCAATCTCATAAATAATGCTGTCCATGTCCAGACCCTTGAGAACACAGCTTCTCCTGCTCGTAAGATCATCTCAATCCCAAAGAAAAACCGAAAGAAGAAGGCCGAGGAGATTCCAGCTTTAGATGAACCCAGACTGGGGAAAAAACCACTCTTATGCCTTAGAGACGAGGCATTTATCTCAACGGCGGAGACTGCGGAGCAGTCCCGCCGGTCGCAATGATTTGCCTTTTTTGGAATTGTCAAGGGTTGGGGGTTCCCTTGACAATTCACGTACTCGGAGATATTCTCCGACGTAAAAACCCTAGTTTGGTGTTTCTCTCGGAAACGAGGGCTACTCCAAATTTGATTGAGAGACTAAAGAAGAAGTGGAATATGTTCGGTATCGCTGTAGACAAAGTGGGCAGGTCTGGTGGTTTGCTGCTTTTGTGGAAGAAGGATATTATGGTGGATTTAATTAGCTTCTCTAAGAATCATATTGACACTGAGGTGATGAGTTCAGAATGGAATCAAAAGTGTAGGTTCACTGGTTTTTATGGTTTCCCGGAAAAGCATCGTCGTCATCTTTCTTGGAATCTCCTGCGCCGTCTTCGGGACCAGAGAAATCTTCCATGGATCGTCGGCGGTGATTTTAACGAGATCTTATGTAACTCAGAAAAGCAAGGAGGAATTCCGAAACTCCCTAGCCTCATTGAAGCATTTCGTGAAACCTTAGATTTTTGTAACCTTACGGATTGTGGACATATGGGATCACCTTTCACCTGGAGTAATAATCGGCAGGCACCACACACCATCAGAAGCAAATTGGACAGGGTTTGTGCTACGAGTGATTGGTTAGAGCTTTTTCCGAACGCACGAGTGACCCATCTTGAATACCCTGGCTCAGATCATATTCCTATTTTACTGGAAAGCAACAATTCAACTCATTTCAATCAGGCCCGTACCCGCCGCCCTTTTCGCTTTGAAGCCATGTGGATCAGGAGAGATGATTGTGAAGAGCTTGTTCGACAACAGTGGGAAAGAGAGGGTTGCAGCGATCCAGTGGCAAATCTGCTACGAAAGAACAATGATTGCCGTGTTGCCCTTATGTCTTGGAGTAAGGCGACGGTTAATCAACCCAGGCGTAGGATCGAGATTCTTCGGAAAAAAATCCATACTCTCCAATGTGGAACCCAATCGGTAAATACGGCGGCTGCATTAAAGTCTCTTAAGGCTGAATTAGAGCAGACATACGACGAGGATAATTATTATTGGCGGCAACGCAGTCGAATCGACTGGATTAGAGAAGGAGATAGGAATACAAAATTCTTCCATGCAAAAGCCACGGTACGAAACAAGACAAATAGAGTTGACCGGATAAAGGACAGTTCAGGTAGATGGAAGGATACTAGGGATGGGATTGAGCAGGTGATTTCGGAATATTTTCATCATATTTTCCGAACAACAGAGCCGCAAGATGAGGAAATAGATGAGGTGATGGAGCATGTGGGAGGGAGGATTTCGGATGAAGCTTTCCAGAACTTGTCAAAACCTTTCACTGCCGAGGAGGTAACCCGAGCCATCTCTCAGATGGCTCCCCTTAAATCTCCCGGCCCTGATGGCCTCCCCGTATTATTTTATACTAAATTTTGGAATATTCTTGGTCCCGATGTGCTGTCGTGTGTTCTTGACTTCCTTAATAATAAGAAACTGCCCCCCTCGGTGAATTACACATTTATTGTTCTCATCCCCAAGGTCCTAAATCCCGAACACATCACTCAATATAGGCCAATTAGCTTGTGTAATGTTATTTATAAATTCGGTTCGAAAACCCTAGCTAATCGTATTAAAACAGTGCTTGATGATTTAATTTCCCCCACACAATCTGCCTTTGTTCCACGTCGTCTTATTACTGACAATGTGCTTGTTGCCTATGAGATTAACCATTTCATTAAACTGCAATCTAGCCGTAAAACAAACTATATGGCAATTAAACTTGATATTAGTAAGGCTTACGATCGGATCGAATGGAAATTCCTTAGGAAAATTCTTATTCGCTTTGGCCTGCCGAATAATTTGGTTGAGCTCATCATGCTTTGTGTATCTACGGTTTCTTATTCCTTTCTCTTTAATGGCTCGCAGTTTGGCTCGTTGCACCCGTCTAGAGGTCTCCGACAAGGGGACCCCCTTTCCCCGTATCTGTTCATTTGTTGCGCCGAAGCTCTCATTGCCATGATTCAGCAAGCAACCAATAATGGGGAGTTAAACGGCGTTAGGGTGGCTGCATCGGCCCCAACAATTTCTAACCTATGCTTTGCGGACGATACACTCATCTTTTGCCGAGCTACGGAGGCTGATGCGAACAAGCTCAAGGAGATTTTGTGTAAGTATGCTAGGACCTCGGGCCAGGAAATAAATTTTGACAAGTCCACGATGACTTTCAGCCCTTCGACGGAGGTTGCAACCAGAGAATCTATACATAGTATTCTTAATTTTGAGGTAGTGGAAAAACAAGAGAAGTACCTGGGTATGCCGGCAGCTATGGGTAAAACGAGAAAACAAATTTTCAGTTTTCTCCGGGATCGAGTATGGGCAAAAATTCGAGGATGGGGGGAAAAATATTTGTCTCAAGCGGGCAAAGAGGTACTTATTAAGGCCGTTCTACAAGCGATTCCCTCCTACATTATGAGTTGTTTTATGTTACCCCAAGGTCTTCTCCAAGATATCGAAAAGGCAGTGAGACGCTTTTGGTGGGGTAATGGAACGAATAAGAAGATGGCGTGGATTTCGTGGAATGCATTATGTAAGACCAAAGAATTGGGTGGACTCGGCTTCAGGGATCTCCGGTGTTTCAACATTGCACTACTCTCGAAACAAGCGTGGCGCTTATTAACGAAACCAAATCTTCTTCTTTCTCAAATCATGAAAGCGAAGTACTTCCCGAATGGTGATTTCTTTTCGGCGGAAGTTGGTCAACGACCTTCGGCGACATGGAGGAGTATTTGGGCAGTCCGAGACTTTCTTCGTTCGGGACTTCGAAAACGGATTGGTAATGGAAAAACAACTTCGGTTTGGGCCGAGCCATGGCTCACGGACAGCGGGGGCAGGCATATTTTTACACGTCGACCAAGTCATACATCGTTCCCGAATAAAGTCTCAGACCTCATCGACCATTCTGTGCATTCTTGGGATAACAACATTGTCGAGAATTATTTTTGGCCCGTTGACTGGGAACGGATAAGGGCGGTGCCGATTGGTAACACCAACGTGGAGGATAAATGGATTTGGCATTTCACAAATCACGGCAAATTCACGGTCCGTTCTTGCTATCACCATGTTATTTCACGGCAATCTGAAAACACGAGGGATGGTACATCGAGTAGTGGGGAAGTTAAATCAAACTGGAAGTGGATTTGGAAGTTATCTCTCCCACCAAAGGTTAAATTGTTTGTTTGGCGATGGATTTCGAACATTTTACCTACGTCGTCTCTACTTTTCCGACGGAGAATTGCGGCAGACCCATGGTGCCGGAGATGTGGAAGGACAGAAGAAACACCAATGCATGTGATTATGGAATGTGGAGGGGTTGATAATATATGGCGGGATTTCAAGATAATAATAAATCACCAGGTTCTAGGATTGTCTGCTTGGCAATGGGTCGAGAAACTTCAAAAACACCTTGACAAGGAATCCTTGAACCTGGCCATGGTTATTACATGGAAGATTTGGGAGAAGAGGAACAAGGAAATTCATGGAGAAGAAGGCATCCCCACGACCGATATCCGAGATTGGTGCAGAATTTATCTTGATAATTTTACGGCGAGCCAAACTCCGCCGGTTCTTTCCCACAATCGCCATCATCCGACGATGTGGAAACCGCCGGATCAAGGTTCGGTGAAAATTAATGTGGATGTGGCTTTTCCATTCGATAAGGACTACCATGTAACGGCCCTTGTTGCCCGCAATGCTGACGGAGCTTGTATTTGGTGGAGCACTAGGAAGATTATTGGCCGCCCAACGGTGGTAGATGGTGAAGCCCATGCAATGCTTAGTGCCATTATCACAGCAAAGGAGAAAGGCTGGGAGGACATTGTGATTGAAGGGGATAACTTACAAGTGATTACGGCTTTTCAAACTCGGAACTCGGACACTCTTCCGTACGGGGTTTTTATAGAGGAAGGCTTGGTTTTGTCTCTTTTTTTCAATAATTGTCGTTTTGAATTTGTTAAACGCTCAGCCAATATGTTGGCCCACGCTATTGCCACTAGATACGATCACTCATGTAAGGAAGGAACAATTCTTCCGGTTTCTTTGGCCAATGTTGCTTAATAATATCCTATATTTTCCATCAAAAAAAAAAACCTAAATAAATCCATTGATGTCATTTGGAACGAGTCTTTTGAAAAGAATTTCAAATCCATAGATTTCAATTTTATTTAATTTTTGAGGTATTTCGGTGGTTTTCAAAGTCCTTCCCAATTGAATTCATTTCAAATTCACTCATCTCAAATTATTTAACCCAAACACAGTCTTAGACTATTAAAAATCAGTTCACTACAGAACTAAGATGAGATTTAAGAAAGAAATTAGTATTGCTCGAACAAAAAAAAGTGTAGGAGATATAAATATTAAATTATTCAAGTCCTCTAAGGGGTATGTCAAATTTCGGAAAAAAAAAATGAGGGGAATACACAAGGATATAATCTTCTTGGTATTTTATTTTGAATATTTTCCATGTGAGGGGTCTATTAAATAATCACTATATAGTATCACGTTTTAAAGGGTCTATTAGTAAGACCTTCTCATAAAAGAAAGAAACGTTGAGCAACCCTAAAAAATCTAATGGTATTTCTGTAATTATTTATTTTTAATATTTTTCTCTACTAATTTCTAACTATCATTTTAACAATTATTAATTTCCTATTTTTCATCAATATATCTCAAATCTTAATTCATAAAGCTAGAGATTCGATTTGTTAAATCTTAGTAAATTTATTTGGATTATAAATCTTAATATGTAAGATTTAAAAAAAAACTAATGTTATATAAGATATGAATAATACTACATTTTTTAATTTTACTATATTAGTGTACTATATTTTCTTATTATGTATTAGATTGATTATTTTTTTCACTATTTAAATAATATCTTGTGCATCGCACATGGGAAAAATGTTAGTTTATTTTAATAGAACTAGACCCACTTTGTTATTTGTATTTGAGAGACCCCATAACTTCTCATAA